GGCGCGCGGACTTTCAGACAATGAAAGCCAAGGCCGCAAAGTCGCCTTGTGTCATTTTGGAAAGTGACGACATTCAAACGGCATGGGACAGATTTAAATCATACTTGAGTGAGCTCTCTCTCCCATACACCACTATCTGGCAAAGTCACCCTGGTTTGATTTTGCTGCACGCAAACAACTCAACAGACGTGCAAGATGTTGGCGTACTTACTTATCTGCTCCTTCATTATGCACCTTCAAGCGATATCGTGAGGTTCGTAATGCCTGCAGGCAGTATCTACGAGGTGCTCGTCTACAGCGTGAAGTAGAGCTTGCTCGTATAGCCTCATCAAACCCGAAACGCTTCTTCGCTTATGTCAAAAGGCGAGGCAACATGAACTCGTGCGTCCCAGTGTTGTTTGGCCCTGACGGCACTGCTGTTATCACGGCTCACGAAAAATCTTGTTTGCTCGGAGAACAGTATGCTGAGGTTTATGTTAGAGAGTCACAGCCGCCGCATATCAGTCTCCAGGTAAAAGTTCCTGAGGGCTCCCACTTGAAGGAGGTTTCTATAACGGAGGCTCAAGTGCTCCGGCTTCTGAGGCAATTAAATCCCAATAAAGCTGCCGGTGGGGATGCTATTCATCCCAAACTGTTGTACGAGTTAGCCGTCCGATTACGCAACTTTTTGTGAAGTCTGCGAGGCTGCTCTCTACACAAGGACTGGAAGGGGGCTATTGTTTGTCCCATTTTTAAGAAAGGTGATAAGCACCTCCCTGATAACTATAGACCAGTCAGTTTAACGAGCGTGCTGGTCAAGTTATTGGAAAAGCTCGTGAGGGACGCTCTCGAAGGACACTTGAAAGCGTTTTAGTTGCTTAATCCTTCTCAGCACGGCTTTCGTAAGGGGTATTCTTGTCTTACTAACTTGTTAACCGCTCGTGAACACTGGGCCGAAGCCGTTGATTGCGGGAAGGCAGTGGACGTGCTGTTCATTGACTTTTCCAAAGCTTTTGACACCGTTCCACATTCGCGCCTTCTGTACAAGCTGAATTCCTACGGTATTTCTGGACCAGTCTTAGGATAGATTTCAGCTTTCCTAATCGGAAGGGAAATGTGTGTGCGGTTGGGTTCAAGCCCGTCCTTCCGCCAATGTGTTCTCAGTGGCGTTCCGCAAGGTTCGGTTCTTGGCCCCCTTCTCTTCACTTTATACGTTAGTGACCTACCTGATGAATTGGGTGTGCCATCCCTAATGTTTGCGGTTGACTTGAAAGTCTGGTTCACGACAGACGATCCGATCGCAATGAGGCTGGACCTTACCGTGGTACGATGGTTTGTGTGCCTCAGTGATCCATTGAGCTATACTGGGTGGTGCATTTTTGCACCTTCAGAGTCACTCATACCAGATTGGTCAATGGTTAGAGGCCAGACAAACTCAGCCTCCTGGTCCTCCAGGTTGGGGGTTGGAATGAGGGTGGCTCCTTATTCCTTAAAACGGACTCCTTGTAGCCCAGTGCCAAACCCGCTGCCTTGCGGACAGGTTTTTGAACCAAAGGCTTTGGTTGGAACCCTAATCGTTCTCCTGTCTAGGCCTGGGCACCCTGACAGTATTCTGCCCACGCAATACAATGAATTTCACTTCAAACAAATTGCTGATGCTCTGGCCACCGCAGAGGATAATCAACGGTGCCCTATCTGCTGCATCGGGCAGGGTAGATAGAGGTTTGGATGCTACTGCTCAGGCCTTCCCGTCTTCTTATTCCTCCTCTTGCGCCTTTTCACCCTTATCGTCCCGTTCCAGCTTCACTTTTATCCCTCCTGTTTTCAACCCCCCAATTCTCGGCCCTCCCCCCACCTTGCTTCAATAGTCGTTTGTCCTTTAGTTTCAACTCACATGTGAACGCGGAGCGTCATTCCTGCACTGTCAACAGGCCCATGTCCAACCAAGCGGCCCATTCCAGTTCATCGGCTTCCATTTGGAGCCCTCGATCCTCCTTCAGATTGGCATGCCTCAATGTTCGCACATTGCTTCAGATCTGCTGCTTCGAGCATAATGGATAGGGGTTTGGATGCTACTGCTCAACCCTTCCTGTCTTATTTTTCCCACTCTTAGGCTTTTCCAGCCTTATCGTTCCGCTCCAACTTCACTTTTATCCCCCTGTTTTCAACCCCGATCTTTGGCTCCCCCCAACCTGCTTTGACTTGCGTTTATCTCCTAGTTTCAACTCACGTGCAAACGCGGAACGTCACTCTCGCCCTGTCGACAAGCCCATTTTCATCAAACGATCAAATCCAGTGCATCGGCTTCCATTTGGAGCCCTCGATCCTCCTTCACATTGGCATGTCTCAACGTACGCACATTGCTACAGATCGGTCAACAGACAGTGCTTGCCCGAACATTAGAGACCCTCTCGATCGATGTCTGCTGCTTATCCGAGACCCGCCTGCAAGGCTGAAACACTGTACTCACTTTGCGATCCCCTTCAGGTGACACCGGCAGTATTTTCTCAGTGCGCCTATCCGGTGACGATGCAGGTTCAAACACCGGCCAAGCCGATGTTGATATTGCCCTGAGTCCCCGGGCTGAAGCTGCTCTGGTTGATTGGATTCCAATCAATAGCCGGATGTGTGCGGTCCGATTATCTGGCTCGTTCAAAAATCCCAAGTCGCTCGGGACTAGTAAGTCTCTTTTGGTCATCACTGCCTACGCGCCCACAAAGTCTAGCGATGATTCGGTAAGGTACGACTTCTACCGCCAACTAAACGAGCTCCTTCGCCACAAAAGACGCACGGACACCGTTGTGCTGGCTGGGGATCTGAACGCTCAAGTTGGAAAGTTCTCCACTGATGAACCGCATCTGGGTAACCAACACGGTGTAGGCTCTCGTGATGATAACGGTGAGCGGTTGCTTCATTTGTGTAAAGATGCTCGCTTATTTCTTGCGAGCACTAACTTCCGACACAGCACCCGCCGGAGGGTGACTTGGTGCCACCCAGCTTTAAACCATCTATGGACGCAAATCGATCACATTGTTATGCCTTACCGTTAGAGAAGCTGAGTCCAGAGCTGTCGCTTTATTTGAAGCATATGTGTGTACACTGACCATGCACTGCTGGTGCATTTTGGCGGACGCCCACGACGACGCTGTGAGTGCATTGACACCAGTCAACTGGCGAAGCCAGCTGTTCTGAATGCGTATCGAAGCACGTTAACGTGCGCGTTGAGAAAGCGCTCACTGGAGACAGTTGAAGGTCACTGGTGGCATGTTCATCAGACCTTATTAGCAGCAGGCGAATTCTCATGTAGTAAGTCTAATCGCCAACACAAACATTGGGTCTCTTCGCAGTCTCCGGAACTTATCGATGCTCGCCGGCACATTCCGGCTGGAAGCGAACACATTGAAACTCGCAAAGTACTCCGGGCAAAACTCCAAGCTAGCCTCTAGAGAGACCTCAAATCCTGGTGGTCTCTTCGTGCGTCAGAGATAGAAGTGGTCGCTACGCTTGGTAAACTTCGAAAGTTATTCCGTCTGATATGGGAAATGGGCAGTAGGAGACCTGTTGTTAGTGAAACTATACGTGACGAAAGTGGACAGCATATCCACAACTTGTCAAAACGCTTGGGGCGTTGGGCTGAGCATTTTGAAAGCAATTTAGTCGGCTGGAGTTATTAGGTTCCTCACTGGCCAGTGATCGCGCTGCTCCCTTGGCTGTCCCTTTGGATCCGTTCCCTCGTTCAGAAGTCGAACATGAGATCGGGCTGCTGAAGTTAAATAAAGCCACAGGACCATATGAGCTTCATCCAGCCCTCTTCAAATTCAGAGGCCCTGCTCTTGTTGATTTACACGAATTACTAATGAAAATGTGGGAGCAAGAAATTGTCCCAACCGACTGGAACCGCTCAGTCATTGTCCCGATCTTCCAAGGAGGCTCTCCTTCGGAATGCGGCAACGATAGAAGCATCAGTCTGATCTCCATCACCTCCAAATTACTTGCCTCTGTTATCTTTCACAGACTGACTGGCGCTCGTGAAAGCTAGATTCGTGAGGAGCAAGCCGGGTATCGTCGACGTCGTGGCGGCACCGACCACATCTTCATTTCCGTCAGCTGTTGGTGTACCGTCACATATATTGGCGGCCCACCGTTGTCCTGTTCCTCCGTATCAAAGGTGCATTCGATTAGATGACCAAACGTGCCCTTTGGGAGCGCCTAGTCAGTAAAGGTGTGCCCGAGAAATATATAACTATTATCCATACACTATACACGTGTAGCTCGGGCAGAGTGAGGGCTTACAGCAAGCTGTCGCCGCCCTCCAATATCTCTAGCTGTGTGAGACAAGGATGCCCGTTGTCACCTTTCATTTTCAACTTCGCTCTTAAAAGTCATAGAGATCGCGCTTGCAGAGCGCGACTTAGGTGTGTAGCTGCTCCCAGGGAACGACTTCTTGACTTGGAGTATGCTAACGATATTGCCCTCCTTAAGGCATCATTGTCGGCTTGCAGATGTGCAAAGTCAGATTAGCACTGGCTGTCAGCCGCCTCGGGCTTTGCTTTGTACCTCCAAACTGCAAGACTTTCCTCTAAGATTGGCATGGACTGCCTCCTGCGCTCACCCTTGGTGGGGATTAGCTGGAAGTCGTTCAAAAATTCAACTATCTGGGAAGTTGGAATCGAAGGTGAGATCACGAACCGTACAACAAAAGCTCGTGGCGTGTTGCATGTTTTTTCCTTAATGTATTGCGGCACAGTAGCTGAGGTGTTTTCCACCCCTAGCTAACGCGTATCGTTATGATGATGATTCTGATTCCCATTGTTTACTGCGCTAAGTCGGCTTTCTTTTAACGAACGTGCTGTTTCCACCGTTAAGTGTGCAATCTAGTGGCAACTGTGCCTCTTCCATTTTAATTCTTTGTTTTTCCAATAACCTCGATTGATATGGGTTTGAAGTTCGTCACATCTGAACTTACTCAGACAGCCATCACACGCCCAGACAAATGCTGTATGGCCCTTTCTTCCTTTCAAGAAATGTCAGTTGTGCGCATTCCATTTGTCTCTTAAGAGCTGGCATCCGCGATCCGACGGTCAACAGGGGACAGTCACGACCAACGTGACTGTACTAGCCTTGATACAGCGGTGCTTACTATCCACTGACTTGTATGTGATTGTATTCATTTTTTGCCTACGACTCATTGCACTATTCGGTTGCAGGCAGCTGCATTATTCCCTTGGGAGAATGGACTTCTGTTCCAGTTTGTCCTCAAAGAAAAGCCTCTTGGCTATCATAAAGGCCGTGAGTTTTTTAATTATTACCTTTCGTCCTCAAGTCCAGCGCCCGAAGAAGAAAACTCGCGGTGAACTGCTCATCGGTCGGCGGGATATTAGACTTTTGTGACGTTTACCCCCAAAAGTCCACACCCACTAAACCTGTCTCTCGCGAATTATCACCTGCAAATCCCAGTGTTGAGCTAAATGAATCCCTAAAGATTGCTTGTGGCTGCACACCTACAAGCTACCTGGGTCCTTGTTTTTTAGCCAGTTCTGATACTTTTTCTTCCTATCCTACTAAACCGTTTGAAAATGAATTAGCTGAAGACCGTATTCATTCCGTCAGCACTCCACGTGATTCCAAGACTAACTGCCGCACCCCATCTGATGAAGACGACGGTTTTGAGGACTTTTTGGGAAGATTACGTCGGACATCCCCTGTGTCGAAGGCTCGTGAGGAGTCTACAAATAGTTTCCTGAAGGACTCGAGTGATTCGTCCTCATTAGAGAACGCTACTGACCCGGCTTTTTACTATCGCATAGACAATTCGAGCAGACGCTCATTACGTAATAGAAACAGGTTAGTCCATCATGTGCACTTCTCTGAAACTTACCTCGGCATCATCTGGCGCTTCCTGCTGATAAGTAGCGAGTGCCACTTTGTTGTCCACCAAATTCCAGCATATTGGTTGCTCTGAACTTCACGGAATTTGTAGCATTTCTCGGGCTATTGAATTGTCTCCTTGACAATATGATTTTGTTTCTGTGCATGTTTCTGTTTCCTTTGCATGGTAACAACATTATTGTCTGCACTTATGACATTCCACAGTCCGTCACTTTACCCTATTGGCCGTCGCCATCCTTTGCGGCCACTCATTACTGTCTCACGAAAGCTCTTAACTGTGTTTCCACTTTACCTCTTGCTTTGGTCGATTTTGCATGGATCGTGCTTTCTTTCTGTAGAAATCCATTACTGTTGGTCAAAATAATGCACTTGTTAGACTTACTATAAGGTCGATACAGCTAAAGAAGAAGGACTAGCATTGTAGTCAGACGAGTATGGCCTCACGTGTCCATAACTACGTGCGAGTTTCTTCGTCATGTCCGAGAACGTCGCCAGCCATGCGTGTTTGTAATCCTCGCACCTCAGCCTTGGAATCGAGAGCGCCCTACCTTGGCCAACTTTGAGGTTGGCACCCTCACACTTTGAGCCCAAGCCACCTGTCCGCCGCTCTGCTTTCGCTTTTAACCGATTTTAGCGTGCGCAAAGAGTGTAAAAAGAGGTAACAGCTAAGCAGACGTGTGGAGCACTTGCTGAAGTCACTGGTTACTTAGTATTTGTTTACCAACCTATGCATTTCGGCGGCTCGTCGAATTTCTCCATTGAGAACTTGTGCCACTTAGCTACACAAACTTTCTGCCCCGTGATTTACCTCATCGACAAAGGGATATTACGATACACAGTCTGTGCTTTCGCAAACAGCGTTCGACGCGCATAATTTATTAACCACTGCACCACTAGTTCGACGGAGGTGGGAGCATGTGCATCCGCTGGAGTGCTCGTTCACTTAGGCCGGCAGGATTCGAACTCCTGTGTTTGGACCGATTATATCTTATTTAGGGCATTAGAAATGAACAGGACCGCACCAACACTCATCACGACGCCCGTGTCAATAAGTGTCATAAAATGCACATAAACACAGGTTACATATACCGAGCGCAGAAATCGTCGTTGTGTGGTCAGACAACATTCTAACAAATCACAGTTTGACTGGTATCCAGGTGTTCGCTTGTGCACTGTCTTTTCATGGGTTCGAACTAAATCAGCGTGTGACGGACAACTTTTTGTTTGAATACGGTAAGCTGGACCGAGTCACCGGTACTTGTTGTAAACTGTTCCATGTTGTACCAGGTTTTCACATATTTAGCTGTTGGTTTTAGCTGTTACCAACTCCAAGAACAGTCACTTTCTTGTTTACATTGTTCAGGTATGCACAGCCTAACTATAAATGAGATCGCAGCAGTCACACCCGTTCACTGAGCTCTACTAGATGCGCCCGTTACAGTGGCTGTGTGTCTCATATGCTTCCGTTAAAGTTTAGTGGCCGAACTGATCTAGGTCCACTCTATCATCATCGTCATCATTATACACTTTAGCTAGAGGTTTAAAACACCTCAGCTAAAAGAAAAAGAATAGAAATACAACAGTTGCTGCACTCTATCCACTCTATAGTAATCTAATGTTCATCCACTCAACGGACACTCCAAATTCATTACCACTGGCTTACTGTTTCATTTAGCATTCCGGAGTCTAGATGCGGGTAACAGATTCATTTGCTAGGTTTGTTGCTTTCACCTGTTTGAGGTAACTCACGCAGACAGGTCACTATGTGTGTATTATGACTCATCTGGGCGTATACACTCGTTATTTATGCTGCCCTCGCAGTGGTGTGGTGTGCGGGTACCGGAACTGAGGCTGACGTGACATGTGTTGTTCTTCTCTGCTTCCTCCCGACTGTGGCTGGATATGTAACTTGTGTTTGATATTTATCGGTGTTGTGGTGCCCACTGACCCTACGGGTAACCTACTGCTGCTGCACAATTTGGACCGGTTCACTTCTTAGATCAGAAAGCAAAGCCCTCTGGCTAAACTTCTGTTAAACACTTACCTGACAGACAGCATATAAAGCCAGCCCTGTGATCAAAATAAATAGTTCATGAGAGAATGATCTGGCTGTAAGTTCCCGAATTCCAGCAACTACTTTATGCCTGAAAACCCGATTACTGGCCACCTAAAATGTGCTGTCACTGGTGGACTTCAAAGTAGATCATTCTCACTGGTAGACAAGGTGAACCGCTGTCATTGGTTCGCCAATTTGCTTCAGGCTGCGTCGGACCAATCTCCGGGCTGTTACCGAGAGGACCAGCGGCGTTTATCGGTTCGATCTTGTCTTTCCCTGTCTACTTCTTTATGCTTTTTTTGCCACCCCATCGACTGTCTACCGTACATCTTCACCGAACTAGATGCAGTGAGCTAGGCGGCCAGCAAATCAATTGGCGGTGAGTGCTTGACCGAGTTGTCATAGGCACCCCCAGTTCAACAGTTAACCCAATGCGGCGCCGCTGAGTTTCTCTCAAAACACCAGGTGACAAAGTTCCGTAGTGTTTACTCGATGTTTCCACCGATTTCGAACAACTCGCAGGCACCGGTGGTCACAAATGACCAGTTTCTTAATATCTTCAATCCGGATTGACCATTCTTCTAGTCCTTCTTGGTGCACAGGTATATTGGAGTGTTGTGCACCCTCCTTTTGATTGATAAGTTGATGCTTCATTGTTTCTGTCGGTGATACGGACGGACACGAGCTCCTCTGTCACCTACAATAGTCTCACCTGTGTGGTAACCAATAGTAGTTAGTAGTTCACGAACATATTGCACAGTAACAGTTTTTTATCCGTGATATGCTGGCATATACTTGGCTTGCAGTGTAGCCTGTCATTGCAGCGGAGTGAGGGGTAGCTGTATGGAGAACGAGGCATTCCTGTTGAACGGTCAATGCCACAGCCTTATTGTATTGAAACATGAGGCTAATCACCCAGGCCTTTTCGTAGACTTCTCCACAGTAGTTGAACGCATCTCGGGCGGAGAGACGGGTTCGAATAGTTGACTAGTGAACAGGTTAACTGGTATACTAGTAGAGGGAACCACTATATTATTGTCAGTTTTAACAGATGGGGAATACGATACAAATGTAGTCATATGTTCGGCAAAATATACCGAGTACAGGTACGGGAGACATGCAACTTGACTATTCATATCATGCTCGAGATGGTCAGGCTTCTATTCCCATAAGTCGCCAGTGGACCTGGTAATATTTCGGGATCCGTAGCGGAGTGATACTGGAAAACTGACTTAAGGAGGCGCGAAACGAATTACCCCGAGAACACCAATTTTTAATGGTATGTGTATCTGTGACAGAAGTAGCTATAGCTGCCATCGGAACAAGCGCTTTGCAAAATGATTGGAAAAGTACAGTGAAACGGTCGTCGGGTTGAAGCGGATGAGTACCCGGTTGATTTTTCTTCATAGGCCTCTCTGTGGGCATGAAAGACTTGAGGTGGATATGATCAGTTAACAGGAGGATGTAACAGGGGTCCAAGGAGTGAAAACGAGAAATCGGTTTACTTGCCATTTGTCCTTGACTTCCATTTAGGCATAAAAGCCGAGATCGCTGTGACCGAGTGTGGAAGGAATATAGCATAGGTCGAATGAATTAAGAACGAGACACAGTTCACTTTCCCTTTTCAGCCGCCATATTTATCTGAAGGCCTTGTGGTTGGTGTTTCCGGGTACTCAAAGAATGTGATAAAGCTTGGAAGAGTGGGCACGTAAATTCGATTTGTTTTTTCGTTTCTCTGGTAACAAGTGAAGCTTTTCAATATACGACCAAGGGGCATCCTGTACTTGCCACTTGGCTCCTTCTGGTATACCTTTGGCTCTGCAATATTAAGCTTGAAGAATTGCATAGCTTTTGGAGCTGTGAGAAATGTATCTATTTTTACACGGAACACGTTAGAGGTGCGCGATCTAATGGGCTGTGGGAGACAATTCCATGTAAATGCATATTTAATAAGAAAAACGTTTGCGTGCATATTGGTGCACGACTTTAAAACGGTTAGCGCGACTTTTTGTTACGTATTGGGTAGCGTTCTGTGTGCTGTGGTGACTATCCAGGTGTATGTATACGCCCATACTTTGCGTCTAGGAATAGTAATATATTTAGCTTTACACTACGCAACCATATCGAGGGCTTTCTTAGTTTCCTTGCTCCGGACGCTTTTTGAACGGGACATGCAAGCGTTGACTGTGAAAAGAAAATGCGTTTTTGTTTGGTATTTGACGGTCAAGCTCTCCTCTACTGACGTCGCTATCGGGCTACATATGTGGATTTACGCCAAATCCGATTCTCAACTCAATTCAGTTTGACACTGTGTGTCTGCATACTGTTTTAACGGGAAATCTTGTGAAATCAGGTTGCTCCACGGATCACTGCTATAAAATTACCTAAATTTTCATTCGGCACTTGATCTTGCTTTTTTCAGCGTCACTATAGATCAGTTTCACTTTAGGATGCAATCCGCGTGCTGGCGATTCATTGTGGATTATGGTCACTAATTTGTTCTATATTTGTTTCTATATTTTCCCCAATTTTTCGGTTACAAACATAGTCACACACGCTTTCGGCTTTTCTTGTTGAAATGCTTCTTTCTAGATCTGGCATCGCAAATCCTGCGTACTCATTACCTACGCAACACTCGCCAGATCGCTCAAATTACCCCACTCCTCTACGATTTTCTTCGCCTTCGTCCGCAGATGAAAATGTCTACGCTAGTAAATGCAACAGCTCGCCTCGTACTCCTCTCCGACCGATTTCCCAAAATTTCCAACAACCTATTTCGGAGTTTGTTTACTCACTGTATCCGACTGAAGAGACTGGAAGAAACCAGCACAGTCATACACTTCGACATCCAAGCGCAGAACGGTAACTCCATTTGTTCCTTTATATCGTTCCCTCGTACATTTGAGCTCAATGTAACGCTCACCGTACGAACCGGTGTTCGGATTTGATGGTTTTTGTTGCCTAAAACAAAAAGTGTGGGCTAGTGAAGCCAACCGGCAGCAGTTCGTCGAAAGTGTTTGCATGCACTTGGCTGCCGCACAGTCACAAGATGTTGTTTAGGGCGCTGAAACACTTTGCTCTTCCGTGTTTACACATCTTCGAACCGGTGACTGGTGGATTGCCAGTCAAACGCGTCAACCACCGCCACTGACCTTGTACTAAAGTGGCAAAGACTTCTGGGAACCCTGTGTGCAATGTACGAGAACAAGATGGTGCCTTGTTGTGGTTTGGTATCTACACTAAAATAGCCAAGCGGTTACGCAAATCCCAGATAAAACACATATGGTATGCCCAAGTTCACTATAACGAACAAATGATAGGTATAACACAGTCACAAGACTAACGCGCAGATCGCTCGATTATGTTGGCTACGCGAACCTCCAACAGTCAGGGTCTTTGCTAGTTATCTGATCACTATTTTCGGCACCTCATTTAACCGAAGGAATGCTCATAGCTAGCGCGTCACGAAGAGATGCAGGTGTCCTTAGGACAGAGTCCTTTGCACAGTTACCAAACGTTTGACTCAGTCTGTCCTATATGTCACCAGTCTACCCAGAATTGTCCGTCCATGATTTGGTGAAGGTTAATAAACTCTGAATAGGACATCTCAGTGGTTTAATAACCTATTAGGCATCTCTTGTTCTTGAAATCGGCGGAGCTCCTTCATTCATTTCCGTTTTCTGACTCCGGCGCTTTTCTCCTTGTTTGTCGCTATGGGATTGTCGATGTTACCACTAATTGTGTTTAGGTCTGTCTGCCGTGTGCGATTCTAATAATTTCAGTCACGTTTTTCGCAAAAATTCCAACTCCAGCCGGAAAGTCAGAAGACAGAAACTAGTACGCTCTCAAATCGCAGTCTATTCCGCTCAAATCGTCACTCTATGTTATTGGTCTAGAAGCGCTGCGTCGTTGTTAACTCAGACTTCATCTACTTCTAATTTTGCTCACATGTAACTTAGTAGGTAATCTGCTAGTTTGAAATCAAATCAACCAATCTTACCTCGCGTGTGAAGCTGGTTTCGCTGAAAAGATATCGATGCACCCTAACATATCCACTCTTGAGATTATTACTTCATCGTAAGACTAGAGCCTGGGGCTGACCTACTCTTTTAACGGTTTTCTTCTGTGTCGATGTGGCGACCACCTTGTATGGAGGTGGTTTCAACAAAGCCTTAGTGTTCTTTGTCCTCATTTCATTTTCCGGTTGACTCTCACTGTTCGCAGCATCCTTTAACAGGTTAGAATTCTCCACCAGCATGTCAAAGGAAAGCCCATCAGGCCTAGTCGTTTCCGACCGGGCACAACCTTGGCCGCAACTGCTTTACATGGCAGGTCCACTGTCATCGATTACGGCTACTTCGGAACAATGACCACCTATTTTTGCAGCCAATCCAGGTGTCCACGAGGAGTTTTGTCGTTCCAATAGTCTTTTGTTAACAAATTGTTTTATCGTTGCTCTGTGGTCTCTGCCTGGTGTTCCATTTCCATCGGAAGAGACAACGATCAAGCCTTTTCTCGCTGAAAACGGTTACATCTATAGGTTATTCTCACATCCCTCATATGGGTTTCTCTGCCTTCCAATCATCTATGTCTTGGCTTTCGTGTCCCATTGTATGCTGCTCGACTGATTCACTACCACAGTCTAACCTACTTGGATTGTCTACCGGTCTGAGCAATCCTGATTTCTCCCCACTGTGTTCTTACTGTGTGGCCACTAAACATTGCTTTTTATAAACGATTATTAGCCACGTGATTCGAGACAGCTGTGTCCACCGCACTCTGTTACGCATGCTTAATAATTGGTTTTAACTCGCCTTTGATGACTTTTTTCATTTCACACCCTTAGATTTGTGAAGCACTTCAAAAAGAACCGCGTCGAACTTGCCAATCGACTTTTCCACATATTCAACGCGACAGTATTTCAACGAAGGGTTAGTATTATCTCACCTTTGCAACCTATGCTTGACTCTCTTGGTGCTTTGTTCCGTGGTTTACATTCCACTTGGTCACTGATGAACCACCTGTCATCAATCCATATCCAATTCTACACGTATACAACATTTCTACTAATTGCGGTTATACTCGCCAGACTACTATTCCACCAGAGGAACGTTTCTGCTCCTCCTTTTTTCCTCGATTGGCTGATATGATTGTGGGATTTCGCTTGAGAACATTCTTCTTTGGATTACTCAATTCACAACAAAAGACGCGGATTCCTAAGTGAGATACCAATTCAAATCAATTGATTTGAGCTCAGAGGTACCTTGCCTGTGCTGATAACGTTTGGCGTCGGCGTGAGAATGGCATCTTTACCAGAGCTTGCTTGAAGAACTAGTGTTTTTGCATAAATTAATGCACTCAGCGTACGTGAGCGATGAAATCACAGCAATCACCTCCTCACAGAATGCCGCGTGGCGCTACGCGTTTCGGTGTGTCACTTGCGTCTCCAAAAGGCTTAACTTCGTGGAACATTGATTCGATGTGTTTAGATGATTAATGTTTATCCAGATGGACAGCGAAATGTGGAAGTAATTGCGTGTATCGGTGAAATCAGTGCAGCATCTAATTTCTTCATTCACTTGTTACGACGGAAAATTTGAGCTAGTTAGTCGTGGTCCAAGTGGATTGTGATAGTATTCCCGTACGGATGAGCGATGTGGCCTCTGTTGACTGAGGGGCATTATGATTCAAGTGTTCCTTGATTGCCGTCCACTGTGGCCTTTGTTTATCGACGCTATGCCCGGCTAAGTGAAGCTTCACTGTACGCCGTCAGGCAGCATCACGAAAATTATGAGTTGGCTGACCCAAAGGCCTGGTTAAGCTACCACTGGTTGTCGTTTCTTCTGTGACTTACGTGACATGTCGTCTTACCAAAGTTGATAAGCCAAAAACACTTTTTAACCTACTTTTTCAACTTTCACTTTATTCACCCTTTCCGTTTTTCTTCCCTGAGTTTTGTCTGTATTTGTTCTACTTTCATTTTTCCTTTTTCGTATAATATTATGCTTGTAATAAAAACTCGTTACTGTCATGGCGACGCATGTTATGGCAATCGTGCCCATCGCACCTCCATGTTGGAACCATGTTTGATCATCCGAAGCAAATATTACTACTGAGTAGTAGGATTTCTGTTAGCATTTTACTGCGCCGTCCTAACATTTCACAGACCAAACAGGTCGTCCCAAGGACAAAATGCTCTTCCACTAGATGCGCATCCTGTTTCTTGTACCGGCAAGCAAACCATTGCGCCCGGTACCCTGAAGTTTGTGTTGCTTCCCTTGCCTCTGCGAAGGAAGTGAAGCAAGAGCAAGAGTAACATCTGTACCTTCTTTGATCATAGACAACGAGGTCTGTGACAATCCGACCAACACTTATCTAAGTCTTTTTTGAATACTTCTACAGTGGTGCTTCACATTAGGGAAAAACCAAACAAAGAATTTAGCCCTAATTTCTACACTGGACTTCTGCTGCCCCCGGAGATGGTCGGATGCGGCTAGTTCACACACATCGGAAGGTTCGATACCACTGAGGCCCTTCATACTCTTAAGCATTTCTATCAGGTAACAGCCTGATTTTTGCCGTTCCACGGAACTTAAACTTTAGGTGCCAAAACTTTCAACATATGACTTTCCCCACTGACCCTCAACCATCCTAGTCGCTAATGTTTGGATCTTATCTATACAGGCAACATCTTTTGCGATACGGTGTCCAAGCCTGCACGTAGTACTCTAATTGAGACTGTACCACCGCATTATATATGGAAGGAAAACTTCATGTTTGGCGTTTCGTAACGTTCTCCTGAGACAGAATAGCTCCATCCCCGCACTTTGTTGGCGGCATGCTGGCACTGTGTTGAGGGTTTAAAATTATTCGTCACAACGATACCCAGATCACGTACTTCATCAATGCAACTCAACGTCTATGTACCTCTAGACGTTTGTACTGTAACCCATTCGATGTTGGAAGTTAATAGTTGCTATGTTTAGCGTAAAGAGCTAAGTCCTACAGGACGACCACTCCGCCACAGTGCAAAGGTCTTTCCATAGAATGTTTCGATTGCCTTTTTGCCGTGTTTTACGTCGTATGCAATGACACAGCAAAGAATTTTAACCGGAGTAGCCAAGTCCTTTATATACATAAGGCACAATAACGGGCCTCAAATAACCTGTGTGTGATGCCTATGTTTGACCTTGAGTCACAAACCCTAACCCAAAAAGTTCTCCTACAAAGGAATTCTGCTATCCAATTCCATACTTGGGAATGTATCCTAAACCATGTCAGCTTTTTTTACTAAGATACTATAATTAACGGAGACAGATGTCATACGGAAGTTTTGATAGCAAACTTCTACTGTAGATAAATAGTATAATTCCCAATCCAGAAACGCACCAGATTATCATTTATCCGTTTTAAATATCATCCTCATCATCATTAATACACGTCAGCCGAGTGTGAGAAGCACACCTCAACGAATGTACCACAATACAAAAAGATAAGAGCTTAAACAATTCGGACTCAACAAGCTATATAAAAAGGTAAGACAATTCTAAATATTACATTCTGCATAGGGTTTGAGATCGTTGTTAGAGGGGGAAGCTTAAGATGAGTGGAGGGACTAAGAGACTCACAACACAAACGCCATTGATGTCGTCTTCTAGCCATGTTAGCAAGTCTATCTAGCCAATCGTACAGTAGGGTTGAACGTAAGGTTGCATTAAAAACTCTGCCCTTCAGAGCGAGATTAGTGTCACGCCGGCGCCACAGGTAGCAAGATTGAAAAAGGATCATCGAGATTTTGCTATACATTTCGTGGTCTGGTCTTCGATTCAAGATACCTTCGGTGCCAAGTACCTAAGTTTCTGGACGACTTCTAGCTGATCACCGCCAAGCTCAGTGCAGAGGTGGGTCCCTGCCAATTTTAGAGGTCTTTGCATTTCGATAGAGCAAAGCATAGCTCCGAACGACTAATAGCCAACTCTACTCTATCCATTGCTGCTTGACACGTTTGGTAACTGTCACAGATGCGCTCAATGTCGTCGGCAATCTTTAAGTCAGGAAGTCGTTCACCTGGTAGCAGCTCCACACCTTTTAGGTCGTGCCTGATGAACACCGTTTCCATGACTTCGTCAGTGGCAAAATTAAAGTGGAAAGGTGATAGCGGGTAACCTTACTTCACACTGCTGGAGATTTTGAAGGGCGACGAAAATTTGCCGTAAGCCATAACTCTGTCCGAACTATGATAATACAGCGATTTTATGATATTTACATATTTCTCGGACGCACCTTTCCTCCTTAGGCAGTTCCAAAGGCACATCGATCAACTGAATCAAAGGTCCCTGTGATGTCGACGAACACGACTACGGTGGATCACCAATAGAAATGGCGGTGTTCCAACCACCGACGTAATGTGAAGATGTGATCAATACAACCTCGATTTCGACTATACCCGACATGCTCCTCATACATCTGGCTTTCACGGATGCCACTCATTCTATAGAGGATGACAGAAGCAAGTAACTAAGAGGCAATTGCGATCAGGCTGATTATGACTGTTGCATTCTGAACGGGAGCCTCCCTTGAATATTTGAACTATGACGGAGTGACTCCAGTCTGTTTTGGACAGTTTCCCGCTTCCATAGATTCACTAGTGAGTTATGTAAATCCAAAAGTGCAGGCCTCCCGAATTTGAACAGGACTGGATGAAGTTCATCTCCTTCGGCGGCCTTTTTCCATTTCAGTCGTCTGATCTCACGTTCGATTTCTGCGCGTGGGTGCAGATCCAAGGGGACGGCCCAAGGAGTGCGGCGCATATTGGTCGATGAAGAAGCTGGCGACTTTGACTGGTTGGACTGCTTCTCAAAGTGTTCGGCCTAACTAGCTAACACCAAGTCACCTGCTTCTGTTTCCCATATCAGACGGGATACACGATGAGACCACCATGCTTCGCGGCCTCTCTTCAGGCTAGCAAGTAGTTTTTCATTTGAGATCTTCGCGAGTCTCATTATATCCACTTTCAGCCGGTACACATCAGCGAGCGTCCATAAATTCCAGAAACTGCGTAGAAATCCAATGTCCCGGTTGGCGATTTGTCTTGCCACATGAAGACATGCCTCCTGCTATTAACGTGTGGCGGATATGCGACTGGTGATCTTTCACTGTGTTCAGCGGACGCTTACTCAGCTCGAATGCCAGCGTACTTTGATACGCATTCAGAACCCATGACTTCCCCAGTTGGCAAGTATCTATGTGCACACAGCACCGTTGCAGACGTCCGCCGAAACGCATCAGCAGGTCGGCGCAAGCAAGTGCGTGGTCAGGGTCCACGCTCGTGCTCCAAATTGAGCGACAGTTTTGAACGCATCCTCTACAGCGGTAACTGATTACGATGTGATCGGTTTGCGTCCATGGCTGAATTAAGGCGGGTGGGCACCATGTCACCCTACTGTGGGTGCTGTGTCGGAAGTTAGTACTGGCATGAAATAGACGATTATCTTCACACAGGTGTAGCAACCGCTCATCGTCATCACAATGGGAGCCTACACCGTGTTGACCACTCAGATGACGCTCATTAGTGAACAGTTTTCCAACTTGGGTGTTCAAATCATCAGCAATCCCCACAGTATCCGTACATTTTCTGCATCGCAGGAGCGCGCTCAGTTGGTGATACAAGTCGTCTTTCATCGAAATGACTAAAAAACACCGTCTGTCCCCACGCGAATTCGATGCTTTGAACAAGGCAACCACTCTGACATCGCACATCCGGCTATTCATTTTGATTCAGTGGAACAGGGTAGCTTCAGCCCATATGTTAAGGACAATGCTCACACCGGCTTGACCTGCACTTGAAGCAGCGTCATCTCCGGATACGTGCAACGAGAAAATACCGCCAGCCTCGCACGTTGGGGATCGCAGCCTAATCACAGAACTCTAA